CACCTCTCCTTCAACCAATACCTTCTACACAGTAATAAAAACACACTTCACACTAATATATAACTTGAAACGAGTCATGACTTTGGCTTCAGCTGTAATGACAGCTTCCGGCCCCTAATAAGTTGCCATATACCTTGACAACTCTCCCACTAACACGGAGCCCCGCGCGGGGTTGAGTGACTGTTCTCTGAGTGTTGATTGGTCTCTTAATCAATAGTGGTCAACGGTCTGGCTCTGAGCCAGAGTGCAGGACCAACCGTTGACATCTTCACGAGAAAATTAGATAGTTTTCTTCGAGGAGTGCCGGACCAACCGGGCTGTGGTGGGTATGTGGGCCTGCGGGCCGCTCCCAGCAATAGCCTGGTGGACCAATCTCTCACAAGTCAAGCCTGGCCTCGGGCCGGGCTTGGGGAGTAGAAGAACTCCCAGAACCTCACTAAGGTATGACCAAGGTATGACAGGAACTCTCAGAGTACAGGAACTCTCAGAGTATAGGATCTCTCATATAATAGGAACTCACAGAGTGCAGGAACTCAGAGTAAAGGAACACGTGGAGGTAACACCAGGATTGAAGAGAAGTGCATAGGACCAAAAATGTGGTCACTGGAACCATAAATTTAAAATGAAATAATTACTGTAAATAATATACACATGGTAAATATATTCAAATATATTTGAGATTTATATGACTATTCAGCAAAGTTCATTCACTGAAGAAGGTAAATCAACTCAGTAATTGGTGAGGCGATAATGTCATACCGCATACTAAGGCCAATCTACGCTCTATAACAATTAATAACTTATCCTGAATTGAGAACCGGAGCCTTTCTGACAGTAGCCGGATGGTGTCACTCTTGCTGGGACCAGACTCTGTATTTTGATGTTGTTGATTTTGATGAATGATTTTGGATTAAATGATGGTGGAAGCGAGAGTCTCTGGGTACATGAGTTCACTCTCACGACTCTTAATATGAGTTCCTATGGACGAATTATAGCTTAGATTATAGATCAGGGACTCTCTGAATATCTGGGAAGTGATTACGGGTAATTTAACTAGTAGTTTGTGCGGTAATGTCCACTGAAACTCTCCTCAAACGCCGCCTTCATGTCAACAAAGAATGATCAGATACTGGACGCTTTCTGCCCCAGCCATCGTCGTCCCTTTCCCACACTCAAGGTGCCGACAATGATTATAAAATGATTATTTTCATAATTTACACTGATTATTGTGACAAAAATATATCACAAGATAATTACCTAATGGATTTAAAGATTATTGACGGTACTTGATAGAACAATTTGTCTTAGGATTTTGAAAACACGTCTCTTGGAAAATATTGCTTGGTTCCAATAATGTTTTTGATTATATGGAAGATTTAAGAGTCTTGTCATTACAATGTTATGCAGGCATTAGGCCCAATAGAGTACTTGACCAAATTGTTATGAAGGCTCCTAATGTTGATACAGATCACCCTTAAATCATCAGTAGATATGAGATAAATTATAGATATGATATGGAAATATTAACATTCCTAAGATAATAATATGGATATGGTGAGAGGAATTTTCAACAGAGCTCTCAGAGTGCAGGAACTATCAGGAGTAGCTTTCCCACCACTCCCAGGGTCACACCACCACTCCCAGGGTCACACCACCACTCCCAGGGTCACACTACCACTCCCAGGGTCACACTACCACTCCCAGGGTCACACTATCACTCCCAGGGTCACACCACCACTCCCAGGGTCACACTATCACTCCCAGGGTCACACTACCACTCCCAGGGTCACACTACCACTCCCAGGGTCACACCACCACTCCCAGGGTCACACCACCACTCCCAGGGTCACACTACCACTCCCAGGGTCACACTACCACTCCCAGGGTCACACCACCACTCCCAGGGTCACACTACCACTCCCAGGGTCACACTACCACTCCCAGGGTCACACTACCACTCCCAGGGTCACACTACCACTCCCAGGGTCACACCACCACTCCCAGGGTCACACTACCACTCCCAGGGTCACACTACCACTCCCAGGGTCACACTACCACTCCCAGGGTCACACTACCACTCCCAGGGTCACAGGAGCGGGGCAAGTAGCACAGCCTATGGTGAGCCCGTAGTGGACTTACCTGGCACAGGAGCGGGGTAAGTAGCACAGCCTATGGTGAGCCCGTAGTGGACTTACCTGGCACAGGAGGGGGACCAGCGGAGCGGGAACTCGGATACACCAAGCGGAAGGCTGCAGAACCCTAGCTGCTGTCAACTCTCATGTGGTTTGACCCGGTTCTTGCCACCTGTCAAAGGATTCGATACACACAATGAAATATTGACCCTAGATTCCATGTGCCCTTAAGCCGTAAGAGCATGCATAGCTCTGCATCGGTTACATTAACTATGTAAGACGTAGTGGCCATGGAGCACCGCCACAGATCCCACCCTCAAGTATTGACCCCATCACAACTTCAAGAAACGTGTTATAAGTGGTTTTGATCACAACACTTCAAGCAATATATCTACATCTGTTTATTTCGTGTGTTTCCACAGGAACTTCCTCCAGTGAAGGAACTTCCTCCAGTGAAGGAACTCCTCCAGTGAAGGAACTCCTCCAGTGCTGGAACTTCCTCCAGTGAAGGAACTTCCTCCAGTGAAGGAACTCCTCCAGTGAAGGAACTCCTCCAGTGAAGGAACTCCTCCAGTGAAGGAACTCCTCCAGTGAAGGAACTCCTCCAGTGAAGGAACTCCTCTAGTGAAGGAACTCCTCCAGTGAAGGAACTCCTCTAGTGAAGGAACTTCTCCAGTATAGGAACATCTTCCAGTACAGGAACGTCCACCAGAGCAGGAATGACCTTGAAAGCGGCCACGGTACGTATCATTGGAGGAGACTGTAGCCCTTGGGTACCGTGGGAGGAGTATGTACCGTGGGAGGAGTATGTACCGTGGGAGGAGACTGTAGCCCCCTGGGTACCGTGGGAGGAGACTGAGGCTCCAGGGTAGCAGAGGCAATGACCGGTAACTGAGGTTTGTACACACGCTTTAATATGTAAGTATTGCAGGGGAGAGGTTCACCAAGACCCCCACCCACGGCAGGAATGGCAAGAGGAACGGACAACGGAGTTAGGGCCAAACACGATGCGGGGCATTGGCATTAACAGGATAATCGGCCGTAACAAGATAACCGGCCTAATTGACTAGATATCTGTCACAAATGCCACCCTCTGGATTAGGACTATCCCAAAGGCAGATTTGGGTTGATCTCTCTAATCGGGGAATAAATTAAGCAGCCCAGCAAAAATGAGTAGTGAAAATGCGAACGGTTTTACAACTCAAGGGGCGTAGAGGTGCAAGAATGTATGACAGAACCGCGTCCTTATATCATGGCAGTTGTGGAGGATCGTGAAGTAGTAGAGGACGCAACATTCTCAGGAGAATACGAGGTTGCAAGAAAAGATAAACAGTGGGGAGGAGGAGGAATAGCACTACTGATACAACAACATTGGAGCTTCCAAGAATTGGAGATACTGGAGGTAATTAGCCAATAGGATTTCATTCTAGGCATGATAACAGTGAGGCCCATGAAGATAACTGTAAGAGTTATTTACAAACTCCATTAACTATGGGAAAATCAGTGGAGGAATATGATAAATGCATCGAAACGTGGCTGAAGATAGTAGACAAGGCGGCCATGGTGGCAAGGAAAGCCAGATAAAAGATCCTACTATTGGGTGATTTTAACCACAGGGAAATAGACTGGTCGGACAAGGAAGGATCCTGACGGTGGAAGTGAGGCATGGAGAGCAAGAGTTGTAGACACCACAGAGAAACACTTCCTGTGGCACCACATCATATCAAGAAGCTGGCAAGAGAAAGAGGAAGTGATTTACTAACTACTAGACATGATATTTACCCAAAATAAAGAAGACGTACAGAGCGTAAAATATAAGGAGCCAGGGACCACTGAGTTAGTGTTTGTTTACATTGTAGAACTGAACTATAGAGTCGGAAACAGCATCAAGAGCGCGAGAGAATAGTGGTACTGGGACTATGGAGGGTTAGGGCTTATCTGCAGGGTGTTCAATCACAGATTGAACTGGAAACAAAGTCAGACAATGACATAATGGAACTCATAATGCAGAGAGGCAAACAAGCAACGCAACCGTTCATCCCTCTCAGAAGAGAAGTAGACGCAAGGAGAACAACAAACTCATCGTTCAACAGACAGTGTAACGAGAAAAACGAGAACAAAAACTAAAGACAAAAATATGATGACAAAAAAGTATATTGTACAGAAGCAAACAAGCGTCTGGGGCTTCATACTTCCCCACAAACACAGCCATGAGTCCAGCGTCTAGGGCTTCATACCTCCCCACAAACACAGCCATGAGTCCAGCGTCTAGGGCTTCATACCTCCCCACAAACACAGCCATGAGTCCAGCGTCTAGGGCTTCATACTTCCCCACAAACACAGCCAGGAGTCCAACGCCTGATGTTTGATCCTTCACAAACACAGGAGCGTCAGCAACATACACACACACACACACAGGCCCATGTTACCACAGCAACGTTCTCACTCTGGTGCCATGCTACAAGGCCGGCTGGTTCAGTCTGGTTCCCTTTAGGTGTGGAAGAGTGTCACGAAGCTTCACCACCCACATAGTATGGAATGAATCACACGAGGTTAGTGTGAGCATGCGTGTTTGAGAGGCACCAACACCGCTCTCTCGCGGAACTTCGGCTCATTTAGAGGCAATTGACCACATCAGAGTCCTCGACAGTGTTCGGAAACTTCAAACCCCCGACATCCACACTGGACGTCCTGAAGTGGTACGAACATTCAGAAGTGGGGTTGAACATCATGTAGTGAATGGAACGTTCTGTATTACCGTGGCCGAGTTCGATATCTAGCGGTGATATGAAAACGTTGTGTTGCGGGTGAGTAGTGTGTTGTGGTGCTAGACGTTCCCCAGTAGTACTGCACCTTACTGAACATTCTTCAGTGGTACTGGACGTTCTCTAGTGGTACTGGACGTTCTCTACTGGTACTGGACGTCCTGTAGTGGTATTCAACATATTGGTGTGGTACTGGACGTCCTGTAGTGGTACTGGACGTCCTGTAGTGGTATTCAACATATTGGTGTGGTACTGGACGTCCTGTAGTGGTATTGGACGTCCTGTAGTGGTACTGGACGTCCTGTAGTGGTACTGGACGTCCTGTAGTGGTATTGGACGTCCTGTAGTGGTATTGGACGTCCTGTAGTGGTATTGGACGTCCTGTAGTGGTACTGGACGTCCTGTAGTGGTATTCAACATATTGGTGTGGTACTGGACGTCCTGTAGTGGTACTGGACGTCCTGTAGTGGTATTGGACGTCCAGTAGTGGTACTGGACGTCCTGTAGTGGTATTCAACATATTGGTGTGGTACTGGACGTCCTGTAGTGGTACTGGACGTCCTGTAGTGGTATTGGACGTCCAGTAGTGGTACTGGACGTCCTGTAGTGGTACTGGACGTCCTGTAGTGGTACTGGACGTCCTCTAGTGGTACTGGACGTCCTGTAGTGGTATTGGACGTCCAGTAGTGGTACTGGACGTCCTGTAGTGGTGCTGGACGTCCTGTAGTGGTGCTGGACGTCCTGTAGTGGTGCTGGACGTCCTGTAGTGGTACTGGACGTCCTGTAGTGGTATTGGACGTCCAGTAGTGGTATTGGACGTCCTGTAGTGGTGCTGGACGTCCTGTAGTGGTGCTGGACGTCCTGTAGTGGTACTGGACGTCCTGTAGTGGTACTGGACGTCCTGTAGTGGTACTGGACGTCCTCTAGTGGTACTGGACGTCCTGTAGTGGTACTGGACGTCCTGTAGTGGTACTGGACGTCCTGTAGTGGTACTGGACGTCCTGTAGTGGTACTGGACGTCCTGCAATAATATTTACTATAGTGATATTCAATGTCCTATAGATGAAGTAATCTTCCTGGGGTGGTACTGGTCGTGGTGTAGTGGTACTGGTCGTGGTGTAGTGGTACTGGTCGTGGTGTGGTGGTACTGGTCGTGGTGTAGTGGTACTGGTCGACGTGTAGTGGTACTGGTCGACGTGTAGTGGTACTGGTCGACGTGTAGTGGTACTGGTCGACGTGTAGTGGTACTGGTCGACGTGTAGTGGTACTGGTGGTCGTGTAGTGGTACTGGTCGACGTGTAGTGGTACTGGTCGTGGTGTAGTGGTACTGGTCGACGTGTAGTGGTACTGGTCGTGGTGTAGTGGTACTGGTCGTGGTGTAGTGGTACTGGTCGACGTGTAGTGGTACTGGTCGACGTGTAGTGGTACTGGTCGACGTGTAGTGGTACTGGTCGACGTGTAGTGGTACTGGTCGACGTGTAGTGGTACTGGTGGTCGTGTAGTGGTACTGGTCGACGTGTAGTGGTACTGGTCGACGTGTAGTGGTACTGGTGGTCGTGTAGTGGTACTGGTCGACGTGTAGTGGTACTGGTCGACGTGTAGTGGTACTGGTCGACGTGTAGTGGTACTGGTCGACGTGTAGTGGTACTAGTCGACGTGTAGTGGTACTGGTCGACGTGTAGACACCCAGTACCCCGTCCATATAGGAAACTTCTCCCATCATGGAGTGATACACGTATCATATACACGTATCAGGTAGTGATTCATGTATCATGTACCAATACACGCGGGCACCGTTGCTAAATTGACAACGGCTTTGGTAGTCACAACAAAACCTAGGTTACTAGTGAGGGCCACCTTTGTGTCGTATAGGTGGTGAGGACATAGGTGTTTTTTTTTAATTATTATTATTATTATTTTCTACCACAGACGTGGCCAGACATTTACAATGCTAATCAGCATATATACATTTTCTTCTGTCCTCCATGGACAGGGTGAGAGATATGTTAAACGTATAGTTGAGGGATTTATTGAACAACCACAAAAGGTGATTGTAGTGCTTTTAAAATGCTAGGCTAAGCTACATACGTAAATACATAGATACACAGATTTACAAAGATACATAGATTTATGTATGCTACATAAAGCGTTTGATATGTCCTTTACATAGTGTCATTAAATGTGCATTTACAGAGGTGAAATGTAATTCTGATCAGCTTCCACATATACTTTATACACATACATACACACACACATAGGAAGTGATGTGGTGGAGGCTGACTCCATACACAGTTTCAAGTGTAGATATGATAGAGCCCAGTAGGCTCAGGAACCTGTACACCAGTTGATTGACAGTTGAGAGGCGGGACCAAAGAGACAAAGCTCAACCCCCGCAAGCACAATTAGGTGAGTACATACATACATACATATATACACACATACATACACAGGGTGGTGGTGATGTGCAGCAACCTGGGTACTGACAGATGGGAGGCAGCACACACAGCACACCTGCACCTACAGGGGCTCAAGGGATGGCAACAGCGCCGGTAAAAACACGCGGAGAAAATAATTTGTTTATGAAAGTTTGAAGCCGTGTTGCCAGGGAATGAACTTTGTTGGGGAGGAATAACTAATGTTGCCGGCCAGATTGTGTATTTATGCTGTGTATGTCTGTAATTGCTGCCCGGAGGTCACAGCCGAGGCGGAAGTAGGTCACTCAAAGCTGTAAATTAATCATCGGTTAGAGCCCCGCTCCTGTGCCGGGTAAGTCCACTACGGGCTCACCATAGCCCGTGCTACTTGGAACATTTGGTTCCCAGTAGCTGAATCTAAAACAACAACGTGGTTCAGCAACGCGGGGACGTTGCTGAACCATAGCAACCCTCCTCCGCACTCCCACCCCCTCCCCGTCCTCCCTACCAGTCCCCCTCCCAATCCCCTCGTCCTCCCCACCATTCCCCACTCCCTCGTCCCATGCGTTCCCAAATGATCTGATGTTCCCATCACTGAAAAATAAGAACAGTTAAAAAAGAAATGAAAAACAATGAAAAAATAAAAAAAAAATAACTATAGTCATGAAATGAACGGTATGGTAAACAACACAGCTCAATTCCAACGCAATGACACACAAAATACTTAAATCAAAATGAAAATAAATCGAAATCTATGGAAATTCAATTATCAATGCAATCGGAAACATTGAAATGTAATCGTAACATATTTAGTATAGCGTGTGTTGCTTTTACGTGCAACAGATGACATTGTTTTTCCCCCAAAAAATGTTTTTACCTGTCACAGATGTGGCATGTATATAGTAGGTACATAAAAACACATACGTATTTGAATGCAACATTGTGTCAACATTTCAAAGGAATCGATAAAGAGGTTTCGGAGATTTCCCTCACATGAAAACTCACGTGAAAAACAGTTAAAAAAAATTATCTTTTCTCCTACCACAACCTTTCTTTTGTCTTTTGCCCTGCTTTATTAGATATTTAAAGGTTACAAGATATATATTGTTTAATACAATAGGATTTAAAGGTTATGGATCTCCTGGAGCTCCTGCGCTTCCGGAGAGGAACCGAGGACGCAGCAGGCGTTTCCCCTCTGGATCGCCACACTGAGACGCTGAAAAGGAAACTGGCAGCCCTTGGGTCTTTGGTGACGTCAATGAGCCTGGAACCCAATTCTTTGAGGAATTCCAATGTACGCTTACCCCATGAGCCATGTGTCTCAGACGCTATGGGAACAAAGGTGTATTAACCTTCCAGTCGCCTGCACTTGATTGATTTTGCTATTTCTCTGTGGTTGGCCGCCCCGCCTGCTTAATCAGCTCTGAGGTGTACATAGGTGTCAGCCAGGGTGGATACACATGTGTAGTCTCACACCAGCTGTCTGCCCTCCTTCCAGGAGTATATTGTAATGCCATCTGGGCGAAGTGCTGGGTCATCCGGGTTTTGGCCCCCTAGGATGCGAGGTTCTCTCTCTGTTGGGCACTGAGCCGAGACAAGGCTCCTCTTGATGCTGTCATTGACTTCGTTGTGTCTTGCATGCCAGCCCTTGGATTTTCCGTAACGCAACCCATGCAGTCCGTATTGGTCTGCTTCCACCCTGTTGCAAATACACTTGTATTCAGTGTGAAATGGGGCACCAAGGCGGAGGTGGGCCACTGCTACACGAAGGGATTCTGGGTCTAGGCGCGTGACCATTGCTGACATGGGTACTGCCAGGAGGAAGTCTCCTGCATGGGGGGCACGCACTGCTCTGAGGCGGGCTTTCTCCTTGTCTGATGTTGCGGCGCTGAGCATGGCATCAGCTACTTTTTCCACTAGTGGGTGGTCCCACCTGGAGTATTTATGTTTGTTGGCTCTATAATGGATGCTGGGGCTGCAAGAGCATCCCACTGATTTGAACATTCAGTGGAAGCAGGATCATGTATTCCTGCAGAATCTCTCAGGGGTTCAGGTAGGATATCTCTTACGAGGTCGTGCGATGCTTGGGAGGAGGAAAGGAAAGCTGGTAGAGCAATCTGGAATCGATATATATATATATATATATATATATATATATATATATATATATATATATATATATATATATATATATATATATATATATATATATATATATATATATATACATACATATATATATACACGGAAGTCCACTATTGCAGTTTGTATATTCCTGCCTTAGCAGGTTTGGTATTGATCTCCTGACATTATATGTTTTGCTTTCATGTAATCAAAAACTCCCCAAAAACTCCCTAATAGTAACTTTAATAAAATATTTTGGCTAAGGGCAGAGAGGAAGTAAACTGGTCAATAACTGATTATTGACCGTGGAGGTCAACTCGTGGATTATGGTGTAGTGATCTTGTGGTTGGTGGTAGAGCGACGGACTCGTTTCTTGAGGGTCGGAGTTCGATCCCCGTAGTGTGAAGGGATGGCGGCACTGCCCCTTCGTCCCGTCCTCATATTCCAATGAGTTGTTCTCATATCCTAGATCATTGTTCTCATATCCCCAGGTCTTTGTCCTCGTATCCCAGCTCATGGTCCTCATATCCCAGTTTATTGTCCTCATATCCCAGCTTATTGTCCTCATATCCCAGCTCACTGTCCTCATATCCCAGCTCCTAGTCCTCATATCCCAGCTCCTAGTCCTCATATCCCAGCTCATTGTCCTCATATCCCAGCTCACTGTCCTCATATCCCAGCTCCTAGTCCTCATATCCCAGCTCATTGTCCTCATATCCCAGCTCATTGTCCTCATATCCCAGCTCACTGTCCTCATATCCCAGCTCACTGTCCTCATATCCCAGCTCCTAGTCCTCATATCCCAGCTCCTAGTCCTCATATCCCAGCTCATTGTCCTCATATCCCAGCTCACTGTCCTCATATCCCAGCTCCTAGTCCTCATATCCCAGCTCATTGTCCTCATATCCCAGCTCATTGTCCTCATATCCCAGCTCATTGTCCTCATATCCAAGAATAAAGGCAATATTCTCTCTAAGAATAAAGGCAATATTCTCTCTAAGAATAATATGATAATAATGTACATTCGCCGCTCTATTCTTCAATTCTTAACGCTCCAAAACACCTTATTTTTCCCATGAAGAGTTTTCAATCTCCTAAGTTCACCATTTTCTGCAAATTTACTGAGAAGCAAAAGCCTTTTACACACATGAAAGTGCGCCTGGTGGCTGAGTGAACAGCACTCAGGACCCGTAATCCTGGGGACCGGGGTTCGATCCCAGGCGCCGGCAAGAAACAATGGGCAGAGTTTCTTTCACCCTATGCCCCTGTACCTAGCAGTAAAATAGGTACCTGGGAGTTAGTCAGCTGTCACGGGCTGCTTCCTGGGGGTGAAGGCCTGGTAGAGGACCGGGCCACGGGGACACTAAAGCCCCGAAATCATCTCAAGATAGCCTCAAGAAGTTCCACGTATGTTGGATACTTAAAAACCTATAACATGTGTGTAAATTATTTCTTGTTTATGAGTAACCAGAACAATATTCTTAAATCCACCAGACGTTAGGTGCTCAACTGACTCTTTTGTCCCAGCTATTATGTAGGGCTGCTGAGCATCCGCCTTATATAGTGGTTCAAATCCACTAAATTCCTTGGCCATCTAAACCATCCACTCCAGCTTCTGGTGAAAGGTTTGTTGACATGACGAGGGAGAAATTACAGCCACTTCCTGTCATTAATCCCTTGCCTTGTGTGGTCCTGTGGCATCCTTCCTGTGAGATTGTCCTGTTGAGTGTATAGGACTTTGAAACCCGGGTCCTGTCTGTTGTTATCACTGTATTCTTTGGTTGTTCATACCTGTCACTTAACTGTATGCGCATATTTTCCCGTTTTCTTTCTTTTCGTCATTACTACCTGAACAGGCCTGGAATCGTCTGGTCCATCAGACTCACTCTCAGACTCACTCTCAGACTCTGGGGACATAGCACAAGACTTCCTTTCACTAAGCCAGGCCTCCTCCGCCATTTCCTGGATACTTAAAGACACTGGATCACAAGTTCACAGTTTTCTTGAGAGCTTCAAGACTTGGGGTCACGGGTCATTGATCACACGTCAGTGGTCACAGGTCATTAGTCACAGGACATTTGTCACGCAGTATTGACCAGTCAATGTGTTATGTAGGTATAATTCACATTCCTTCTCCTCACTATGAATACATTAATCGAACACCTCTTATGAATCTTGTATTATCTGGTCATCACCTCATGACCAATTGGTCAATATATCGACATGGCTAACACATGTGTCGCCATGTGGTCACATGTTGGTCATGTGGTGATGCCACATGACCACATGTGGTCATGGTCACTACCGGGGCGTCATAGAGGTACCAGACACCCACCGGTTCACTATAACTCACCTGGATAAGAATCAGTAAACAAACCCAACGTCCATCAAGTCCCAAAGTCCATTCCATCCACCCGCCAAACCCCCAGCTGTTTATGAATGACAAACGGTTTACACACGACTCACAACTGTTGACGTCCGAACACTTCCGGAACAAATGCTTCACTGACGAATTTTGTTCGAACCACAACGTTGTAAATGCTTCACCCACGTACTACAAATACAAATAATCGCCAACAGAACCTAAGCACCTAATCTAACCTATGCCTATATATACACAATATGCTACTATATTATAATATTCATTTATATTTGAGAAAATTCTCGTTTTGAATGAACAACATGTAAAAATTTATGAACGCGTCTGAGGGGTCGACCGCTGGATGGAATGGACTCGAGTCGAGGACGGGTTGGTAAATGCTTCACCTACGTACTACAAATATAAATAATTACCAATAGAACCTAAACCCTTAAACTAAACCGTAAACCCGTTGTCCTATTACCACGGTGCAAACTTGAACGAAATGGTTTTTGTACGCGATTGTACTGTAAATTTTGTAACTAAAGTGAGTCGAGGCAGGGCGACACTGTTTAAACTATATAGTAGGTTATGTAGTCTCAGTTATATGTATGAAACGGGAAATGGAAGGGACTCAGGAGAAAGCGCCAAGACATTACGACTATATAGCACTGGGAAGGGGTCAGGATAAGGATTCAGGATGGTACGAGGGTAAGGAATGGTTCCTAAAAACTTATGGACGGTCGGGGATTGAACGCCCACCTGCATGAAGCGAGACCGTCGCTCTGCCGTCCAGCCCAAGTGGTTGGGCAACAGGAAATGGAACTACCTAACCTAATTTACCTTCGTGAATAAGCCTTAGAACAGCACAAAGTTCTCTGTTATCGGAGCTTGAAATAATACGGTTTTCGCCTGGTATAATATAACTATAAATATAACTAATAATATATAATAAAATTATTATAATAGGTTTATGATGAATTGAATGACTATCTTGGAGTAGCTGCAGTAGTAATAATGTTACTCCTTTACCACACACAGCCGTTATGAGCTACTGCAGCCGTTGTGAGGTGTTGTGAGGTGTTCTCCAGCACAGTTCTTGACCGCCACCACAGGCGGCCGCAGTGATGACCGTCCAGTACACTGATGCGGTCGCAAGTCAGGGTGGCTGTGGCTCCTTCAAGCTCCTTGCAAGGTAAGTGGGTCATTACACCCCAATGGGCTCAATATCTAAGTGTAGCGTTGGTTCGACGTTGGCTTAGACCGGTCGGACTCTGCCCAAATGCTACCGTTTTATAATTATCAGCAACTATAGCGACCCCCCCCCCCTGCGATTTTATGGTTTGAAATAAAATCAAAAGTTGTGTTCCCGAGCAGTTTTAAAGCGTGACTCCCGCCGTTTACCCGCACTTTCAGGTTTAATCGAAAACGATGAACGCAAATGAATTTGGGATACAGTATTACATTTTCTGAGATGGAGAGGGGGTAAGAAGTATGTAGAGCGGAATCTTGGGAGAAAGATGGAGAGGGAAAGGAAAGGGGAGAGAGACTTTAGTACAGCCAGGTACCCCATATATATTTAATATTCATCTTGAGGGGAGATAGAGAAGGCTGATGATGATCTTGTATCTTCAGGTGGCGAGGAGCGTATACAAGACGGTGTGGCAAGATATACTTATCTACCTCCTCTTCTACTTCACCATCTCCTTCATCTACCGCTTCGCTCTTCCTGATAAGGAACGCAAGTAAGTCACTGACTGTCTGGTGGTCCCTTGAGAATTGTGGATCACAGTTACCATTATCTATCGTTAGCTTGTGGCCCTTGTCTACTGTAGATCATAGTTACCGTGATCTACCTCTGGCTGGTGGTCACTGTCTATTGTAGATAGATTACCATAACCCTATTGTGGTTCAGCTTCTTGTACATTGTACGTCTATTTTTTTAATACTTACAAGCAGTAGCAATGAAATTTTTGCTGTTCTCTAATATAGTTCTTAGAAAAAATACATTCAGGTATAGTACTACTTATTTATATGCTGCTTCAGACAATCCATTAGATAATACTTTCCCTGCATCCTACAAGTTACTTCCATCCTCCTTAGTCAGATTACAAATTTCTATAATAATAGTATTCTCAGCTAGAGAAGGAATTCTTGAGTCTCCCTCGGTCACATAATGAACACATGTCTTCATAGCTAATGTGCTGATATAAACGTGATTTTTGTAAGAAAAAATCGTATATTGTTTAGTTTTGAACGTCTTATGACCAGGTTTAATATATTTGTTTTCATTTCAATGCGTTGAAATGTGTCTATTTATTTTCATAGAGCTGTAATGGACGCATTTTGCAACTTGATATTCCATAAAAATAACAGCCACTGACAGGAAACTGAATGTTTGATGTCATTACGTGATCATGTGTACAGTTAATGAGAAGAAGAGGCGACAAGCCTTCCCCAATCAGGGAGTTCAGTGACGGATGACGTCATGGTGCTGCTAACGGTAGGCAACCGAAATTTGAAAACACCAGGAAAATGGCGGATGGCGTCTGAGACAAAAGTAGCTGAAGAAACATGAGGCCGCATGTGCGTCGTCTTATATTCTCAGCGGTCAAATATCGCCCAAGTTGGGAGTTTGTGTCCAAGCAGGCGCATTGTCCCCCTACTGAAGGATATCATTCAGTCTGCTATGGCTCTAGCAAGAGCAAGGTTAATTATTGTCGGTTTTGAAGATACTGGAGTGTTCTCAATTGAATACGGAGCATCTCTTGTCATAAGAGTCAGCACCAGGGCGATGATCAAGCCAAGGAGCTGGCTAGGACACCAAGGTTTATGTCCAAATGTATAAGTTACGCCAGTGACGGGTGGCCGATTATAACAATTGGTGTAATTCTCGAGTGAGTGGGGCTGCCAAAGACATTTTATGACTCACGCACGAACAGTGAATAGTAATAATAATGACAATTAACTGTGGCATTCCCAGGATAATCAGTGCCGACGCTGGTCAATAATAATACAGTGCTATGTGGTGTGGCAACAACCCGTCCTCTTACAAATTACGTCGCTTTTCGCTCGTATGCGCTACGGCCAAAAAAAATAACCGTAATTTGAAAATAAAAATAATTGAAAATAATGTTTTGTTTCCAAAAGGGCAGGTTAAGGGCCTTCTGGTAGGTTAGGAGGGCAGGAAAACGTCATGAAAACCGTTAATTGAAAGTTTCCTCTCCTAACCTGACAGCCTAAGCCAGAGGACCCCAAACAGAAAACGGGACAGTACGTCACTTTCGTGAGCCGATTTCGTTTTAAATTACTTTAATATTTAGCCTGAGTGCGCACACGAGGGAAAAGCGATGTAAGAGGACAGGTTGCTGGCACAGTTAGTACTCTGTGCCAACCATTTTCTTTTGGAATTATTTTTTTGGAACAACGGAGTTCCATTATTGTTGTGGAGGAATTTGTTACCTAGTTGTGCTGATAACTTTTAGATATATTGAAAAGTATATATTTAGGTCATATATGACGAGGCAACAATTAGGGTTTGTACTATTACATTATTTATATGTTGAAATATATGTACTTCGCATCTGCCGAGGACACCGTTCTTGCTACCATTAATATCAATTTTTTTCAATAGCAGGGATTTTTTCAAGTTCCGGACATATTTGATGCATGTGACTTTTATTTGTATATGGTAATACAAACAATGTCTACGTCCTTTGTCCAGATATAACAATGAATCAATCTTGAGCCTTCGTTGACACAGTGTTACAGGAACATGTTATGTCTACTGAGATTGGTCTATTTGACTTATATTTCTGACCTCATTTGGCGGCCCAAACCCATTCGAAACATTATATTTAACTCCATGGTATATATATATGGTATATTTTTATATATGTCCTGCTGGTATATCAGTGTTTGCTCAGCTCATCCTCCTGTTTTGGTAGTACTTATAGTAACGCTGAGAACCATAGTACATATACCGACGTTCAACGCAATTAGAAAGTAGAAATCTGACATTTTGAATTTGGATTGGAAAAGATTTTATATTTATGTTGCAAAGACAAACTAACCTAACCTAAACTTTCTAGGCCTAATACACGCTATCCGAGGTACATATGTGTGTTATACTAGGCCTAAGAATATTTAAGTTAGTTTTTTAGCGTCATTTTTATTCGGGCTATAAAGTGAATAGTACAAAATTCTACTCTCTAATTCCTTAGTACGTCAATGTTTGTACTATGGTGCACATATAGTAACAAAAAGTACTACCTAAACAGGAGTATGGGTTGGTGTGCTTAAGTGGCACTGTGCTGTATATTAATATGAGGTTTTTATCCTTTAGGTGATGACTGTGATAACGTATTCAATATACAAAAGCCTTCAATATACAAAAGCCTATCAGTAAACCAAATATTTCATGAGCAAATGGGCTTAAAATGTGATGGAATGACGTATGTGTGTATTTAACTGGTTGATACCTGGTTGATGGGGTTCTGGGAGTTCTTCTACTCCCCAAGCCCGGCCCGAGGCCAGGCTTGACTTGTGAGAGTTTGGTCTACTAGGCTGTTGCTTGGAGCGGCCCGCAGAAAAACATATACCTGGTTGATGGGGTTCTGGGAGTTGTTCTACTCCCCAAACTCGGCCCGAGGCCAAGCTTGACTTGTGAGAGTTTGGTCCACCAGGCTGTTGCTTGGAACTGTAAATCCTCTTCGTCTCATAAAATGTATTAATTTCAGAATGTTTGAGAAGGTTGTCCTGCACTTCACCCGGTACCGCAACGTGATCCCGGTGTCCTTCGTGCTAGGCTTCTACGTGGCGCTGGTGGTCAGCCGCTGGTGGGACATTTACCGCAGCATGCCCTGGCCAGACACCACCGCCATCCTCGCCAACACTTATGTCCCTGGCATGGTCAGTACTGCAGCTGCTTCCTACCCGGGATTTTTTTAAATTTGTCCCGTGGGGCGAGTTTCTTGGGCGGTGCCACTCATCCTGTGAGTGGATGTATATAGCAGCATGTATAACACCCCCAGTTGGAAGAAAACCCGATGGGTTGTTCATCCTGAGTTACCCTGTATTACACACCCTAGCCACCCCCCTCACACTAATACACACCCTACCCCTCGTCATGCTAATATACTATACTCATACTAATAATAATGGTAATAATACCATGCAGAGTAAACTGGGACTTTGCCTCTTCATATATTTATCTATAAAAGATGATTTGTGTTCGTCTGAGGATAATTATTAGGCTAGTCCATGGGGCCTAGCCTCATCATGCCCTAAGACTATATACAGGTGCCAGCGAGGGTGGGTACACATGTGTAATCCCACACCAGCTGTTTGCCCCTCTTCTAGGGGTATATTGTAATGCCATCTTGACCAACCATGGGATTGCCTGGTTTTTGGGCCTTTGGGATGCAAGGGTTTTTCTCAGCTGGGCACTGAACTGAGACAAGTCTCATCTTAATGCTGTCATTTATTTTTTAATATACAACAAGTTACAGAGGATTGTGGAAGTACATTGTTGATTGAGTGATACATTCTTGCAAAGCCAATAACACGTAGAGCATTTCGGGAAGATCCTTAAGCTTACGAATAAATATATTAATAGGTACATTGTAACAGAATTTGAATTCTAGATAATAACTACACTGTAAATTGATAAAATAGATTATACTGATAAAGATGCATTTCTTTGGTAATTAACTTGAATGGGTAGCACAAGATACTGTAAGTTTGTAACACAAGATGGGATACTATGAATTTGATATTAGGTACTGTTTGTTTCTACTTTTGAATAAGAATAGGTTGGACAATTTTGTAAGTTCTTTAGGACTGACCTCCATATATTGGGTCCTTTTATTTGCATGGAGTGTTTGCACAGATTTAGTCTGACTGGGAATATCAGAGATATTTATTTCATAGTAATGTTATACTTGAATTTTCCTGTTTAACCAAGTTTAAAACAACCAAGAAAATAATGAATAATATAGAAGATATCCATTTATTTTAAATATTAGCCTAAGATTTATTATATAAAGTGAATATTTTCTGCATATAGATAATTATCGCTATGAAACTGCCAGAAGTGTAGGAAGTTTCAAGTGATTTACAAAAAATACATTCCACGTCAGTGTACCGCTGTAGGCCTACCTAAATATGTTTTTAACATTTTTAAATAAAATGTTCTTATTATTATTATTGGTTAAGTCAAAGATCCCGCTAATAACGAGTCCCACTGAGTCGTGTATTTTTGGTTGCCAACATTATTCCCACCAGGACGTATCCTTGGTGTCTAGGGACCAGATTCACGAAACAGATACGCAAGCACTTACGAACCTGTACATCTTTTATCAATCTTTTGCGGCTTTGTTTACAATTATTAAACAGTTAATGAGCTCCGAAGCACAAGGAGGCTATTTAAAGCAATAACAACAGTCGATTGGGAAGTTTTCATGCTTGTAAACTGTTTAATAAATGCAACCAAAGCCGCCAAAGATTGAGGAAAGATGTACACGTTCGTAAGTGCTTGCGTAACTGCTTCGTGAATCTGACCCTAGTGCATTAGTCTCCGCTGGCAAGCGTAGTATCACACTAAAATATAAGGTGGTGTTGCAGAACAGAGGAGCGAGAACAACGAGAGTCACTGTCCTCCGCTATGTCAACCTGAGCATCGCCATCACCTTCGCCACCATCTCCCCCGTCGTCAAGGATAAGCTGAACACCGTTCACGATCTCAAGCGTGAAGGTATTTATTCCAAAATGTAACGCTTGAATTATAAGCAGATGAGGAGTCACAGTAACGTGGCTGAAAAGTGTTGACCAAACCACACACTAGAAAGTGAAGAGACGACGACGTTTCGGTCCGTCCTGGACCATTCTCAAGTTGATCGACTTGATAAATGGTCCAGGACGGACCGAAACGTCGTCGTCCCTTCACTTTCTAGTGTGTGGTTTGGTTAACCTTGAATTGTAATTTATGATTTGACGGATTACAATTAACCAGTTCTGGCACATGGTCTCAAAGATGATAATGGGCAGCCGCAGTCTCTCTCTTTTCTTATCTAATAATTAGTTCTCCAAAGACAAATAATAAAAGCTTAATTACATGAGGTGCATCTCATGACCCTATAGATCTGCAGTTTCCTGTTTTTACTTGTCTTATGTTTTATATCAATAGCATTTTAAATGATCCTACTATGAGACTTATTTATAATTCCTCTTGTCAAGGCAATGAAAGAAGAAGCGATGACAAAATTAATATCTAAACAAGTCATTCTCTTAATTAATTAAGTGCCACTGAAGGACCTTCAAAAGGAAAATATGAAAGAAAATATCAATGTTCAGGATGTTCATTAATTTCTCCCTCACACATATATCTTCTTTATTACCAACCAAGCTAGGATATGCTCTGTCAAATTAAGCTGTTGTTAATCTACCACATTACTTTGCAAGGTTACATGGTGCAATATGGTCTAATACTTTTCAATTTATGATAATACAATTTTGTACAACTTGACCCCTTGGATATTTCCCATATATGTAGTTCAAATAATACTGAAAGTTAATGTTTTATAAACATTAACTAACAGAACGTTAATAATTAATTAACAGAAAGTTTATACTGAAAGTTAATGCAAGTATATTACAATTTTGGCTTCTACAAAGGAAAAGGAATTGTCAGGGGAAAGCGCCAAGCCATTACGACTATATAGCACTGGGAAGGGATCAGGATAAGGATTTGGGATGGGACGGGGGGGGGGGGGGAAAGGAATGGTGCCCAACCACTTATGGACGGTCGGGGACTGAACGCTGACTTGCATGAAGCTTCTACAAAAACACCCTTTTTTCTATTACAGGCTACATCACAGAGAATGAGTTACATATACTAAGCAAGCTGGACGAGCAGACGGACCAGCACAAGGCCTGGGTGCCCATAATGTGGGCGTGTAAGACTCTACAGCGAGCCCGACACGAGGGACTCATCGCTTCCGACATTGGCCTCCAAATTATTGTAGACGAAATCCTCAGTATTAGGCTCAAGTGCGGGAGCCTGCTGGGATATTATGGCAATAACATTCCTCTTGTCTATACCCAGGTGAGACTCAAAAGACAAATCAGTAGCAATTCTTATATAACCAGGTGGTGCCCATATTTAATCAATACTATATATACATTGTACATTGTACAATACCTGTACAATATTTTTGTTGGATCACTGTTACAGACACGTCTGAGGTATCCAGATATGTATTGTAGGAAATGTAGGGTAGTAAACTAGATCATCCGATAAAAATGTAGTTACCCAGCTTACAAAGCTAGCTAGCTGGCTAAAAACTAGCTTACAAATATGACAAAAACCTAACCAAACCTAGCCTAAACCAGTAATTCATGTTTCTAAATATAATACCATTGCTAGGGAAGAACCAATTTGAAAATACATATTTGGTTGTAATGCAAATCACTGCCTGTTAGGTGAATAACCACAAAACCACGTGATTCGGTTTTGCGTAGGCATCCACATAGGCTATGTTGACCAGACCACACACTAGGTATTCGGCTTGTATAGAAAGTACACCTAGGTGATAAAAGTATTTGTGTACGTCTGGTACCATACTACTTGTGTAAGGTGGAAATGTAGATGTTTATCTCTCAGAATGTTTGGTAATATGTTTACTGTTTGTGATGTGTTTATATGTATGTATTTACACGATGAACTGAACGGGGTGAGAATAGCTTGAGCTACCTCATTCCTTTGTGTGTATTTTACCTCAATAAACTTATTTCAATTTCAACTTCAATTTCAAACACACTAGAAAGTGGAGGGACGACGACGTTTCGGTTCGTCCTGAACCATTCTCAAGTCGATTGTGGCTTGGTCTCCACATAGGCTAATTACGAGCGTTGATTTTTGTTCTTACAGGTGGTGACAATAGCGGTGTACATATACTTCGCGTTCTCCCTGCTGGGGGAGCAGTTCCTGGACCCCACCAAGGGCTACGATAACCAACAGGTCGACTACTACGTGCCGCTCTTCGCCCTCCTCCAGCTCTTCTTCTACCTGGGCTGGCTCAAGGTCGCAGAGGCGCTACTCAATCCTTTCGGCGATGATGACCACGACTTCGAGTTTTTAAAGTATTTGGAAAGGAATATTAAAGTAAGTCGCGCTATATATGCCTTACGTGTTATAGTTTTACAACGCATTGTGTCTTGATACCATCTGGTTGCAACCCGTCCTCTTAAAATTGCATCGCTTTTCGCTCCTATGCGCGCTATGGCCAAAAATGGATGTAATTTGAAATGAAATCGGCTCACGAAAATGACGTACTGTCCCGTTTTCTGTTTGAGTTTTCCGGCTTGCTCGGTTAGGTTAGGAGAGGAAAGTTTCAATTAACGATTTTCATGACATTTTGAAACCTTAGGAGAACCTCTTGGCATCCTAACTTACCAGAGAACCCTTAACTTGCTGTTTTGGAAAAACAAAAATCCAAAATTTATTTTCAAATATTTTTCATTTCCAAATTACGTCCATTTTCGGCCATACGGGGAAACGGCTAAATTCAGAAGTAATTTGTAAGAGGAGAGATAGCATTATGATAATTATTTTTTGCTCTTCATGTTTCAAGAATCATTGTGAGCAGGTTGAAACCACTTACTTAATGAGACTAAAAGCCTAAATTTGCATTAGAACCAGCATCTATAGTAATATCGACAGTTGGAGGAAGCCAGCGGCATATCCAACCCATACTCTAATGAAACAGTACATGTAGCGACCATATGAATTATTTGTAACATTATTAGCTCATTACTTTTGGCTTGCTGCTGTTTTATATTTGTCTAACTGGTGCGTTACTCTGTCTTACAGATGTCGAAGCTGCTGTGTGATGCCATGCCTAGCGACCTACCCCCTGGCGTGGACGAAGCAGATACTCAAACACAGTTTAACGGAAAGATGGTAGTGAAGAGCATCGAATCATACTAAACTGTTCACTCAATGAGACATCAGTCCGTGAACAACCTGTTCTCGTTATAGCACGTCGCATTTTGACGTATACTTTACCCAAGGCCAAAATCTGATTGTACAAGAAAATAGCAACGGCTCGCGAAAGTGACTTAATGAACCCTCTACGAGGCATCGGTTCATGAACACTTGATGAGGCATCGGTTCATGAACACTCTACGAGGCATCGGTTCATGAACACTCTACGAGGCATCGGTTCATGAACACTCTACGAGGCATCGGTTCACGAACACTACGAGGCATCGGTTCATGAACACTCGACGAGGCATTGGTTCATGAACACTTAACGAGGCATCGGTTCATGAACACTCGACGAGGCATCGGTTCATGAACACTCTACGAGGCATCGGTTCATGAACACTCTACGAGGCATCGGTTCATGAACACTCGACGAGGCATCGGTTCATGAACACTCGACGAGGCATCGGTTCATGAACACTCGACGAGGCATCGGTTCATGAACACTCTACGAGGCATCGGTTCATGAACACTCGACGAGGCATTGGTTCATGAACACTCTACTAGGCATCGGTTCATGAACACTCTACTAGGCATCGGTTCATGAACACTCGACGAAGCATCGGTTCACGAACACCCGACATGTTTAATTTGATATTCTTTACTATATAATTGCTATGCAATTTTTGACAGTGTATATTATAAACATATTACGCACGGATACTCCTATGTTAAGTTGATGCTTGGGTATTTTATATATATATATATATATATATATATATATATATATATATATATATATATATATATATATATATATATATATATATATATATATATATATATGTCGTACCTAGTAGCCAGAACGCACTTCTCAGCCTATTATGCAAGGCCCGATTTGCCTAATAAGCCAAGTTTTCCTGAATTAATATATTTTCTCTAATTTTTTTCTTATGAAATGATAAAGCTACCCATTTCATTATGTTTGAGGTCAATTTCTTTTTATTGGAGTTAAAATTAACGTAGATATATGACCAAACCTAACCAACCCTACCTAACCTAACCTAACCTATCTTTATAGGTTAGGTTGGGTTAGGTAGCCGAAAAAGTTAGGTTAGGTTAGGTTAGGTAGTCGAAAAACAATTATTTCATGAAAACTTGGCTTATTAGGCAAATCGGGCCTTGCATAGTAGGCTGAGAAGTGCGTTCTGGCTACTAGGTACGACATATATATATATATATATATATATATATATATATATATATATATATATATATATATATATATATATATATATATATATATACCTCTCCGAGACCTTAAGTGACACAGCCAGACCTCAGAAGCAATTAATGTGGCGCAAAAAGTAAAAGATGTACCACCACGGAAGGGAAGGGAACATCACTACATGTACCAAAGGTGAACAGAAACTTTTAATATTAGTGACATCACCACATGTACTAAAGGTGATCAGAAACTTTTAATATTAGTGACATCACTACATGTACTAAAGGAGGTCAGAAACTTTTAATATTAGTGACATCACTACATGTACTAAAGGTGACCAGAAACTTTTAATATGACATGGTTCTAAAACTCTCTCAGTCAGTCGACTGTGACTCAGGAGTGTGACGGCTGCCAGACGTCACGTGCAGTGTAATTTCGTATTTCACGATTACACTGTCCCCCAGAAGCCTATTCTGCTCTGACCAGATAAATAAATTACAGTATACGTATCAGAAAATACAGTAGTCATGAATGGCTGCATGTTCGAATACAATCTTTAATTTCTTAAAAAAATTTATTATTTTTAATTATTGAACATATTTGTATGTTTTATTGTTAATTTGTGCTGGGGCTATGTTTTTGGGTAATTTAATATTATATACATTTCAGTAAATGCCGTTTCAACTATAATTATATTTATTGCAATGCAAATTTGAACTGATGTACACACTTGCTTTGTAATGTTTTATCTTCACTTGAACCGCGTTGTATCCTTAGGTACATGTATAATGACACAAACTGTTATAAATCTGGGCATTAGGCTGTGAGGTTCATGCTCAGGTGACAGCTCAAGGATTTCGAAGAGCTTAGTCTACAACCTATCCTCGACTTAAGTCTATACCATCCAGCGGTCGATCCCACAGACGCATTAAAAAAATTTAACATGCTGTTCATTCAAAACAGGAATTTTCTCTAATATAAATTACTAATATATAATAGCATATTGTGCATTTCAATCACCCTGTTTATGAATGAAAAACGGTTTACACACGACTAACAACTGATTTCGTTCGAACACTTCCGGAACAAGTGCCTCACTGACGAATTTTGTTCGAACCACAACGCTGTAAATGCTTCACCCACGTACTACAAATACAAAATAATCGCCAACAGAACCTAAACACCTAATCTAACCTATGTCTATATATGCACAATATGCTAATATATTATAATATTAATTTATAGTTGAGGAAAGTCCCGTTTTGAATGAACAGCATGTAAACATTTATGAATGCGTCTGTGGGGTCGACCGCTGGATGTAATGGACTCGAGTCGAGGGCTGGTCGGTAAATGCTTCACCCACGTACTACAAATACAACAGCCCGTCCTCCAAATAAAGATTCAAAAGTGATTCCATGCACCCGCCAAATCCCGTTTATGAATGAAAAACGGTTTACACACGACTCACAACTGATAACGTTCGAACACTTCCGGAACAAGTGCTTCACTGCCGAATTTTATTCGAACCACAACGCTATAAATGCTTCACCCACGTACTAAAAATACAAATAATCGCCAACAAAACCTAAACACCTAATCTAACCTAACCTATGCCTATATATGCACAATATGCTAATATAATAAAATATTAATTTATATTTGAGAATATTCCTGTTCTGAATGAACAACATGTACAAATTTAGGAATGCTTCTGTGGGGTCGACCGCTGGATGTAATGGACTTGAGTCGAGGACGGGTTGAAATACAAATAATCGCCAACAGAACCTAAACACTTAACCTAACAATGCCTAAATATGCACAGCATGCTAATATATAACAACATGAATTCATATTTTAGAAAACTCATATTTTGAATTAACAGCATGTTAAAATTGATGAATGCGTCTTTGGGGGTCGACCGCTGGATGGAATGGACTTGGTCTGAGGACGGGTTGTAGTCTAACAATAAGTCAATGGACATGCTAACAATAAGTCAAAGTTCATCCAGGTTATTTGTAAAGGTATCAAATTAGTAACACTGGCTGTCATGCAGCATGTGTCTGTCACGAACCATCCTCATTCCTACTAGATTTGTTTTGAATATTATATATATTTTATTTTAGTATGAGATTTGTAATTGAAAATATATTTTTAAGTTCCTCTCCTTACGAATTTGAGTATTTTAAAGGATTGAATTGCTCTGTCTATCCTCTTGCCTACAAGCGATAACAGTTTCTGTGTCCTAAATGTTGCAGTATATATTGTATGTTGGATATTCAGGCGAGGAGTCACAATAACGTGGCTGAGATATGTTTACCAAACCACACACTAGAAAGTGAAGGGACGACAAGGGTCGTCCCTTCACTTTCTACTGTGTGGTCTGGTCAAAATATGTTGGATATTGCCCCAGCCATCATTGGATATGCGTAAACTGCATTGGGCTTATTGGCCCATGCGACCATTTACTTAACCTCAATCTCGGTTATATATTTAGTTGCTTCAGCTAAATTGTATTCGTCGCTGCCTTTAAAAATGTTGACATGGTCAAAAAAAATAAATATTTCTTATCATAGGGCCACAATAAAACTAAAACTTAGGCGAGTTAATTTTTCAACTTGCTTTTCAGTTGAAGAAGAAAATAAGAAATATATATATATATCTCTGCTAGAATCACTGATTCGTCCTATCTGTTATATTTCATTATATATATATATATATATATATATATATATATATATATATATATATATATATATATATATATATATATATATATATATATATATATGTATGTATGACAAATTAAAGAATACTGCAAGCATTTTCGGCTCAATTCGTCTTTATCAGAGGAAGATGTATAACCAGCCCCCAGGGAGAGACAGGTCACCTGACCACCAAGAAATGGGGATGACACCTTACTTTATTGAAAAATGTGGACGAAAAAGGAGTAGGGCAGAATGAACTAAGGATAAATTTAAAACAGATGGTGTTTTCTCTCATTGTGGAATTTCGGGAATAAACAAAAACACTGGAGAGTAGCGTATATGTGCCTTACTTATATTAAGGCTGTTGTTACATTAATCAGAGCTGACTCAATCAATTTTTTTTCAGTAAAAATGAATGTATATGAGAAAGGAACATTGGTTTTAAATTTATCCTTAGTTCTATCTTCTCTACTGCTTTCTCTTCCCCATTTTCCATAAAGTAAGGTTTCATCCCCATTTCTTGGTGGTAAGGTGATCTCTTCCCCTACCCCACCCTCTCTCTCTGATAAGAGGAAATTGAACTTAGAAATGCACCAAGGATTCTGCCACGCATCGACAAGCTTCTGGGAATTTTGTAACATTACTTAGAAGGTTGCCAATGCTTGGCAAAATCCTTGGAAATAGTTTTATTCGAAGTTACATAAAATAGTAACCTACTTCAGGACTACCTTTAAAATATATTCTTATAAGACATAACATTAGAGAAATGTGCAATTATTCAAATGTAATGTTATTCGTTCGTTTATAATTTATCATAAATAATGCAACTGTAGGTGGATAAAGTCGAAGCACAAAATATTAATAAGCATCATATTAACTGACTAAGCTGTACATTATTGTTTTTATGATAAATACAATTATTTAAATTTTATGTTTTTGATTTATTATTCTTGTATCACGAATATTAAGGAGACCAAGTGAAGATGTTTTCACTCACTGAATCAGATTTTGTGATTTAATAAAATACTGATCAAACTGCTGAAGTTTGTTCTGGTTTCTTGCGTCTTGTCTGGCGTTTACTAAAACAATTATTCACAATTGAAAAGTATTTTTGGGTACGATTTTAGAATTCGACATCCACTCGACGTGTTGCCGACAAATGCTATAAAAACGTATGACATCACCAGAGATTTCTCTATATTTCGGGGTGATTTACGTCTAAGCAATTGTTTACCGTGTAAAATTTCCCTATTTTTAGGATAATTGGATTGTTGGTTTACCTTGTTCCCTATCCAGTCGTCCCTCGATAAAAAAAAATCTAGGTGACTGCCTCCTTTAAGATCACTCATCTATGTTTTTTGTTTGTCGTATTGTCATCCTGAATGATATTTATAAACTTTTTAACATTCTATAACACAGGGCCATCAAATAATTCTGAACTGCTTTTTCTTTTGGTAATTACTTCCGTCCTAACTGGTAATGTTATAAGAAACAGAAGGCAGAGTAATAAGTTGGGAAGATTTATTATTGTAGTAAGAAGACACCTATGAAGTGACACATGAGCTGATACCTGGTTCCATCATATTCCTGACATAAGTAAACGAGCTGAGCCGATAAAAACTCTTTATCGATGTTTGGAGACCACGTTTAACGAAGATGATAAAACACCTTTGTCGACCACACGAAGCTACAGAATAAATTGAACGAAATTGTTAGGAAGGAAGAAATGTTAAGAAAAGGAAGTAAAATGAGAAATCAGAGAGAAGATATTACACGAAACCTGACTCGATGCACAAATAAACCGAATATTAGTGGGATATCAGCATGGAAGGTGGGTGGGGGGTTGTTATGGCGCCATGAGGGTATCATGGGAGGTGGAGTGATGAGGGCAGCATGGGAGGTGAAGAGTGATGAGGGCAGCATGAGAGGGGAAGATGAGGCTAGTTTGTTTTAAACTTTAAAATATTGACATTAAGAGAACAAATAAGTACATAAATACTTTAGAATAACGTTTGTTTCAAAACTTGGTAAACCTTTTTCAAACATACAATATTTAAACGTTAATTAGTAAAATCATTATAGTAGGATACAAATGAAATGCAGAAGTAAACAATCAATATTTACTTTCCTTAAAACAAAATTCACAACATATGATGTAAAATGTACTGGAAAATACAAGATATTGTAAATAAAATAATATATGGCAAGTTTCCCTTATCAATAATCTAGTTTTAGATGTTAAGATCTGAAAAATTAAATTAATATAATGTGTTTTCTGTATTACCAATTTAAGTAACTGTCTAACCATCGCGATCAATTTCAACATGGGAAGGTATACTATCACCCTTATTCTTAACAAAAGGAGAGCCATAATCCTAAATTTCAACTTGGGAATGGGCATAATCACCACCATTTTCAACACAGGGGATATATAAGCCTTTTTATGGTCAATTTAAATACCAGGGACATGTCTAATTTCAATAGATGGTGCATAATCATCCACAGTTTCTACATGGCTATCATCCTCGGCTTGAACGTCACAATCATCCTCATTTGCAACATCAGAAAAGGTATCATAAGAAATGGAGTCATCCTCAACTTTAACATGGGGAGAGGTATAATCATCCTCATTTTCAGCATCCTGAATTTCATCATCAGAAAAAACATAATTACCCTCATTTTCAACATCCTCAATTTCATCATCAGAAAGGACATTGTCGCCCTCATTTTCAATATTGAAAGTGAATTCTTTATCATCATCTTCAGAATAGGTGGGTACATTGTCCTGAAATTCATTATTGGAAGCATCAAAATCAAAGTCATCATTTGGAGAACCGTAGTTGACATTCTCATCATCACTATAAGATAAATAACTGTCACTACTAACATCATCATCATCGCTAACGTAAACGGCATCCTCTGTAGCGTTGCCTAAACTCGCGTTTCCAGGCTTTTGTGCTGTGGCTCCTTCACCACCTGGGGATGTGGTTTCTTTCTTATCACTCTTTTCCGATTCCTTATCACCACCTGTGGGTGAGGTCTCTTTACCCCCTACTCCCGAGTTGGTTCCCTTATCACCACCTGTGGGTGAGGTTTCTTTACCACCTACTCCCGAGATTGTTTCCTTATCACCACCTGTGGGTGAGGTACCTTTCTTATCACCTCCAAAGGTGGTTTCATTATCAGATTTAGCGCCTCCTACAGATGAGGTGGCATTCTCACCCCCTCCTAAAGTTGTTTTAGTACCCAATTTATCACCACCTTCTGGAGATGTGGTGGCTTTCTTATCACCTCCTAAGGTGGTTTCTTTACCCAATTCGGCACCACCTTTTGAGGTTGAAGTGGCATTCTTATCACAAGATACATTAGTCCCTGAGGAATCTGTACCTGCTTTATGCTTACAACTTCCTGCCGTAAGATTTTTTGTGGCAGTAACATTTTTTTCATCTTTACCAGTTTCATTTTTATCCTCACTCTCAGACTCTTCAGATGAACTCTCCTCCTTGTCACTGTCGCCACCAGCTTCTTCCTTATCGTCACTCTCGTCACCAGCCTCTTTTTCGTCACTCTCCCTACCAGCTTCTTCCTTATCACTGGCGTCAGCAGTATCTTGTGCCACGTCGGTGGTGTCCTCTTTATTACCTTCTTCCTCATCAATGCTTTCACTGGTGTCTTTATCAGCATCATCATTAACGTATGCATCATTGACATGATCGTAAACATATATGTCGTCGAGTACCATGTCAGTAGAAGTACTAGTACTGGTATCCTCACCAGTTGAAGTATCAGAAGAGGATATGGCATCACTCGCGTCATTCAAAACACCCGTAGAGGAACTTGTTTCAGAGGTTCCATCATTGTCGGTGTCGGAAGAGGTTGTGGTGTCGCTTAAAAAGTCATCAAAAACACTAAAGGAAGACATTTCACTATTGCTCTGATCCTCATTATAGAAATAACCACTATCATCATCAGCGATATCACCCTCAACAGCATCAGAAATATCAATATCAGCATTTACACCATCAGCAATATCATCCTCAACACCATCAGCAGTATCATCCTCAACAGCATCAGCAATATCATCTTCAACAGCATCAGAAATATCAATATCATCCTCAACAGCATCAACAATATCATCCTCAACAGCATCAACAATATCATCCTCAACTCTATCAGCAATATCATCCTCAACACCATCAGCAATATCATCCACATCAGGAATATCATGATCACCAATATCATCTTCAGCAACATCACCAATATCATCTTTAACAATGACAGGTTCGGAACGATGTTCAACATCATTCTTCTTTCTCAAGTTTTCGTAATTATCATCTAACGAATCTAGAAGTCTATGGTCAGAAACGTATTGAGATTCATCTCTTTCATTCATATAATCCGGGATGTAATCTTCCGCCCACATATCATCAGATTGAGCAGCGTTTTCTTCAAGGCCTTCGTCAACTTTTGAGGTCGTGTTTGAGGTATTGTTTTGAGTCCTGTAATTAAAAAAAATACAAAACAATATCGGCAATGCATCACAATATGACTTTATGAAAAACAGATCTTGTCTAACAAATTCCTCCACCTTAAATGCCAACTATGCCAAAGTCTAAGAATTTTCAGATAATAGACTTCACCAAGTTCTTAATGAAGTGCTACTTGAAAGATTCGCCCAGACAACCCAACAAATGAAATCACTGGTAAAATACTGAAATGACACACAGTGATGAAAATCTTAAATTAATTAAACATTAGAATGGAAAACACCTTGAGTTAAATGCTGTACCACTTTTTAAAATTGTTTAAAATTGTGCGAAACAATTTCGAATCATGTAAGGCATATTCGTACGTTTTTAAATTAAATTCCTATATATTAATCGTACCTAATTTACCGTATACTGTAATAAGGTGTATGAAACACATACATATGAAGCGTTTACTAACATACCTGGCTTTGAACCCCCGCGAACGAAATCGAGTTAGATGTACAAATGTATTTGTTCCTGCACTATTTTTTGGACATAATACCTGACCGAAAATTGAAATACTAGGGTTGAAAATCCGTATGGAATTTCTGCACAACCGAACGTCAATTTAAATAGATCAAACTCAGTGACTTGTATGCCAAGGTCTGGACGTCTATGTCGAGGTAAAAATGACTCATTTGTTCTTTAAGGTTTCTTATGGGGGGAAATTCGAGGCAAATATTACCACTAAGTTCTTAAAGGTTTTTATGGGAGAAATTCAAAAATTTTCAGAGTTCAGGTTTATAAAATTATTTCAGAGTTCATATGATCATAGAAATTTATTTAAGAGTTTAAACCCAAAAGTTTTCAAAACACCATTTTAAAAAATAGTGTCATAGAAGTTTGTTAAGGAAAATAGATATCTTAGCAGTAAGTTTTAGTTTTTATATCCATTTACTGCTGTGTCACACTCGTTCGAGACCCAAATTAATAAGAGACCATTTCAAGACCAAATAATTTCAGACCAATTTAAGACTGAAAATTAGTCAAAGTTCCAGTTAAAGACCGAAATTATTCAAAGACAAGTAAAAGACTCAAATTTCTTCAGTCCGTTTTAAGACCGAAAATTAGTCAGAGACCAGTTAAAGACCGAAATTAGTCAGAGTCCAGTTAAAGATCAAAATTGGCCGTAATATGACAGAGACCATTTTAAGACCCTAAATATGATAAGAGTCCATTAAAGACCGAAATAATTTCAGTCCATTTTTAGACCAAAATTTTCTTCAAAGACCATATATAAGACCGAAATTGAACAGAGACCAGTTTAAGCCCATATTTCTACAGAGACCATTTTAAGACCAAAATATGAGTGTATTTAAGACCGAAATAATTTCAGTCCAGTTTGAGACCAAAAATAGTCAAAGATCAGATGTGCATTTTAAGACAGAGATGTGACAGATCGGTTTAAGACCAAAATTTGCCAGAGATCGTATTTATAAGTGTAGTTTCGTTACTAATAGCCCAATTTTAAAGTCATATTTCAAGATGTAGTAAATCAAATCAAGTCAGTAAGCAAGTTCTAGCTCCCGTCCCCCGCATTACTTTACCCCCATAACTTCTTTACTAACAGTCCAATCCCCCTGAAATTTAAGACCGCTATATTTCGTACGTAATAAAATAAATCCAAACAATTACCGAACTCTAGCTCCTGTCCCCGCCTTAACCCCCTCTCATATTTTCATTAATACCCGATCAATTTCTCAGAAATTTAACACCCCTGTATTTCAGACATAGTAAAATACAATAATTTAGTTACTGAGCTCCAGCTCCGGTCGCGCACCTTAACCCCCTCTCGTATCTTTGTTAATACCAATTCAATTTCCCTGAAATTTAAATCAGTCATACTTCTAACTAAGTAAGTAAAGAAAACGTAATTACTGAGCTCCAACTCGTCCTCCGCCTTAGTTCCTCAAACTTAGTATTTCAGATCAAGACCCACTCCAGCCTATCATCACCACAGTAAGCATATCCTCTTCGTCAATACCCTTTGTTTACTCAGCTACGTAAATAACCATTCACAAGGTAATAATAATCACACGGTCATATCACACCTTATCTCTCTCCCTCCCACCTTCCTCCATGCCCCCGGACCCGGCCGCTCTATTATCTCCCTCCCTCACCCCTTTCCTTCCCCCCCCCCTACCTTACCATCCCCTACTCCCTTTCGCCCTTATCTTCCCCTCCCTCTCCCCCTACTTCCCCTTCATCTCGCCCATTCCTCAACTTATCCAAACCGTCAATACTCTTACTATATTTGTATGTTCTCTCCATGTTCTTAAAATATCCTCCCAAATGTCCGTTCCATGTTTTTCACCTGTTTCTCCATATTCTCCATGTTTTCAGCAAGTTCTCTGCAAGTTCAAGTCATATTTTTGTATTCTCTTCCATGTTTTCATAATGTTCTTAACATGTTCTTCACAAGTTCATTGTTCATTCTTCGTAGTCTGTGTTCTTCGTCATTATTCATGTTCTCTGCAAGTTCATGTTCCCCACAAGCTCACTGTGTTCATCTTATTCTCGGTTATGTTCTGTGTTCTTTGTCACGTTCCCCGTGTGTTCACTGTGTTCGCCGCATTCTCTTAAATGTTCTTTAAAATCAAATGTACAATTGTTTTCTTCCAATCAGTTCAAATTTACCAAGACAAACTTTTCTTGTTTTTATCTAAAATTACTTGTCAATCAACTAAAAAATAGTCACGTTCATCATTTTCTTAACTAATATATTTGTTAATCAATTAAAAAAATAGCCATGTTCATCATTTCTTAACTGAAATATGTCATTCAACTAAAAAAAGGCCATGTTCATCATTTTTTAACTAAAATATTCGTCAACTGAAAATAGCCTGTTCATCTTTTCTTGTCGTTTTGTAATTAAAATTATTTGTCAATCAGCTTAAAATAGTCACTTTCATTATATTTTCTTGTCGTTTCTTAACTAAAATTATTCTTCCCCTTAACTAAAAATAATCAAATGTAACTTTTTTCAGCACTTTCGTAACTAACAGTATACTTCTTGGAGTAAGAAAAATTGTCAAAGACACTCTTTGAGACATCAAGGACACACTCTTCGAGATATCAAAGACAGTCTTCGAGACATCAATAACACACTCAAAAGACGTCAATAACACACTCAAAAGATCTCAATTACACACTCAAAGACACCAAAGTTACTCTTCAAGACATCAATAATACACTCAAAGACGTCAGTAACACACTCAAACACATCAATAACACACTCATTGACACCAATAACACACTAAAAGACGTCAATAACACATTCAAAGACATCAATAACACACTCAAAACACATAAAAATACTACTCATGTCCTCAAAAGTCATTCGCGGTCATCAAATGTTATTCTCTAAGTCATCTTCGTTCATCAAAGAAACTTTTTTTAAACATCTTCGCTTATTAAGGAAACTTTCTAAGATATCTTCGATCATCAAAGTTATTCTCTAAGTTATTCTTCGTGCATCAAAGATTTTCTCTAAGACATCTTCGTTCATCACAGAAAGTTTCTAATTCACCTTCGTTCATCAAGAAACTCTCAGACATCAAATATAATCTCAGATCCATCAGTGATCCTCTAAGTCATCAAAGATAATCTCTTAAACATCGAGAATACTCTTCAGGCATGAAATAACACTCTCAAATGTAACAACCGTTGTTCTTCATTCAATAAATAAGTAGTTAACAGTAACATTTCAAGACATGCAAATTAAAACATGTCATTACGCAGTCACAGTCAACTTTAAGTCATATATTAAACTAAACTTGTACAACTTAAAGTACTTATAAACTTATTCGCCATGTATAAATAAGTAAAATAGCTATCTTTTATGCAGTAGCAGCTTTCACTAAGACTCGTTAAACTCGTTAATAGCATTTACTGTCACAAACACGGCTCTTAAAGTAACTAGCTCACCTTTTCGTAACAAACTTGTATTTCTGCTTATTAATTATTTTGTTCAAATATATTTTCTTAGCCACTTTATCTTAAAACTGTTCTCTGAACATCACTGCATAACCCTACCGAACTTAGCTCACCTGTATTAACTTACCCTAATATAACTTATCATAACTTATCTACCCAACCCAACTTGCCCAAACTTTACTTGCCTGAGCTAACCTATAGTAATGTTACTTACCTAATCAAACTTACCTAACCTCTCCTACCTGATTGAACATGAACTTAACTTACGTAACCTATCCTATCCTAACCTTACTAACTTAACGTAACTTACCTACCCTAACTTAACTTACATAACCTAACCTAACCTAACTAAACTTAACTTACATAATCTAACCTTCCTAACTTAACATAACTTACCTAACCTTACTAACTTAACTTACATAACCTAATCTTACTAACTCAATGTAACTTACCTAACTTACATAACCTAACTTATCCCAACCTTACTAATTTAACATAACTTACCTAACCTACCCAACCTAACTAAACTTACATAACCTAACCTAACTTAATTAAATTTAACTTACATAACCTAACCTATAGATGCTAACCTTACTAACGTAATGTAACTTACCTAACCTAACTTAACTTACTTAACCTAAATATCCTAACCTAATTTGACTTGTCTGTACTAGCCTATCCTAATGCAACTTACCTATCCCGACATTACCTAACTTACATAACTTAGCTAACTTAAGGCCATTAAAATCAGCTTTTCAAAAATCTGGCACTTTAACAGAATTTTCTCCTACAAATCTATTTCATTCTATGCTAAATCTGATTTCTTTATGATCAATATTCCCTAGCTCACTCCCTATTTCGAAGTCATTAATTTGCGTTTCCCTGTTAGTTAACACAAAGTCTAAAATATTATTTTCACGCGTTGGCTCCTTAATGTGTTGCGTAGGGAAGCATTCGTCAATTAATTCTAGAAAATCTTCCGCTTCATTATTCCCTGTTCTGTTAAGCCAGTTTATTCCACTAAAATTAAAGTCATCTATGACATAAAAACTGCTTGACCTAGATGCTCTAGATATTTCATCCCAGAGATGCTTTGCTTCTATTCTGTCCATGTTTGGTGGCCTGTATACAACTCTTATTATAATATTGTTATCTTTTTCGTTTAATTCTAGCCAAATAGTTTCTGTGTGGTTCAGTTTTGATTCCCTCTTTGAGACTACATTTCAAATTTGCCCTAAGATATATGGCTACTCCCCCTCCTCGTCTAATATATCTGTCTGTGTGAAATAGTTTAAATCCGCTTATTTAATATTCATTTAAATATCTTATTTTTTTCTTCTTGTAATATCAAATACTGACAATAATTCTAAGTATTAACAAAAGACTTACCTCCAATGTATAATAATATATTGTAAAAAAAGATCTTGCAGTACAAAAATATTGTTACTAGCTGTCATTATAATTATAAAGTGTGCATATTAGTTGTAATTGTTAATATAAAAAATGTGCTCCAATTCTGATTACCTTTTGTGTCCTCTGCAATACTTTAAGCGGTCACAAGGCGAGTATGGGGTGCACGATAGACTAGCCGCCCTGGTGGCAACAAACATAAAAGCTACTTATATTTTTTATACTCACGTGAAGAGATTTTTCAATTTCTTGTGAAGATTTGAGACGAATTCCCTGAACCTCTCCCCTGTGGTTGCATTTTCATTGTCCTCTTGTGGCTCCTCCTCCTCACTGACAACCCTCGCAGTCTTCATAAACAGACAGACAGCCACCAAACATGCCACCCTGCAAATGAAATGCTTAATTAGATTACTATACATGACAACCCTCATATGGGTATACACTGCATATGGTCGTATGTATGTGGTCACTCAATCACTTATGGCCATACTCGGCGGTAATTAACTTGACTGATCGTGATAAGAGCAAATGGCTTTCCAGGTTTGTTAAATTTGTATAAAATTTTGTGCTGGCCAACATTCAAGATAAACTTCCTATTGTCTATTCTGTTAAATGAAAAATCTCAGCAAGTCAAATTAACTTTGTTTATACATTTACAAATACAAAAACAAAAACTTCAACATTCTGCAATCTCTTTTCTCTATCAATTTCGACAAAGTACCTTTGATTTGATTAAATGTCAACCGCCTGCTGAGAATATTTATAATGTTATATTAATATAATATTCAATTTTTAAACAAAATCAAAGACCATATCATTTGTCCTATTGTCAAAATTTAACTACAGCTACTAAGTGAGACAAAAAATATAAGATAGCAAGCAAACTAGTGTTAATCTTAGGTTAGATTGATGACCAAACAACACACCAGGTTAGATTTGTTATTCGCAAGTCAACAAAGGGTAGAAATGTTAGTTTGACCACCGTCAGGATAACACACTCAAAAGACGTCAATAACACACTCAAAAGATCTCAATTACACACTCAAAGACACCAAAGTTACTCTTCAAGACATCAATAATACACTCAAAGACGTCAGTAACACACTCAAACACATCAATAACACACTCATTGACACCAATAACACACTAAAAGACGTCAATAACACATTCAAAGACATCAATAACACACTCAAAACACATAAAAATACTACTCATGTCCTCAAAAGTCATTCGCGGTCATCAAATGTTATTCTCTAAGTCATCTTCGTTCATCAAAGAAACTTTTTTTAAACATCTTCGCTCATTAAGGAAACTTTCTAAGATATCTTCGATCATCAAAGTTATTCTCTAAGTTATTCTTCGTGCATCAAAGATTTTCTCTAAGACATCTTCGTTCATCACAGAAAGTTTCTAATTCACCTTCGTTCATCAAGAAACTCTCAGACATCAAATATAATCTCAGATCCATCAGTGATCCTCTAAGTCATCAAAGATAATCTCTTAAACATCGAGAATACTCTTCAGGCATGAAATAACACTCTCAAATGTAACAACCGTTGTTCTTCATTCAATAAATAAGTAGTTAACAGTAACATTTCAAGACATATGCAAATTAAAACATGTCATTACGCAGTCACAGTCAACTTTAAGTCATATATTAAACTAAACTTGTACAACTTAAAGTACTTATAAACTTATTCGCCATGTATAAATAAGTAAAATAGCTATCTTTTATGCAGTAGCAGCTTTCACTAAGACTCGTTAAACTCGTTAATAGCATTTACTGTCACAAACACGGCTCTTAAAGTAACTAGCTCACCTTTTCGTAACAAACTTGTATTTCTGCTTATTAATTATTTTGTTCAAATATATTTTCTTAGCCACTTTATCTTAAAACTGTTCTCTGAACATCACTGCATAACCCTACCGAACTTAGCTCACCTGTATTAACTTACCCTAATATAACTTATCATAACTTATCTACCCAACCCAACTTGCCCAAACTTTACTTGCCTGAGCTAACCTATAGTAATGTAACTTACCTAATCAAACTTACCTAACCTCTCCTACCTGATTGAACATGAACTTAACTTACGTAACCTATCCTATCCTAACCTTACTAACTTAATGTAACTTACCTACCCTAACTTAACTTACATAACCTAACCTAACCTAACTAAACTTAACTTACATAATCTAACCTTCCTAACTTAACATAACTTACCTAACCTTACTAACTTAACTTACATAACCTAATCTTACTAACTCAATGTAACTTACCTAACTTACATAACCTAACTTATCCCAACCTTACTAATTTAACATAACTTACCTAACCTACCCAACCTAACTAAACTTACATAACCTAACCTAACTTAATTAAATTTAACTTACATAACCTAACCTATAGATGCTAACCTTACTAACGTAATGTAACTTACCTAACCTAACTTAACTTACTTAACCTAAATATCCTAACCTAATTTGACTTGTCTGTACTAGCCTATCCTAATGCAACTTACCTATCCCGACATTACCTAACTTACATAACTTAGCTAACTTAAGGCCATTAAAATCAGCTTTTCAAAAATCTGGCACTTTAACAGAATTTTCTCCTACAAATCTATTTCATTCTATGCTAAATCTGATTTCTTTATGATGAATATTCCCTAGCTCACTCCCTATTTCGTAGTCATTAATTTGCGTTTCCCTGTTAGTTAACACAAAGTCTAAAATATTATTTTCACGCGTTGGCTCCTTAATGTGTTGCGTAGGGAAGCATTCGTCAATTAATTCTAGAAAATCTTCCGCTTCATTATTCCCTGTTCTGTTAAGCCAGTTTATTCCACTAAAATTAAAGTCATCTATGACATAAAAACTGCTTGACCTAGATGCTCTAGATATTTCATCCCAGAGATGCTTTGCTTCTATTCTGTCTATGTTTGGTGGCCTGTATACAACTCTTATTATAATATTGTTATCTTTTTCGTTTAATTCTAGCCAAATAGTTTCTGTGTGGTTCAGTTTTGATTCCCCTCTTTGAGACTACATTTCAAATTTGCCCTAAGATATATGGCTACTCCCCCTCCTCGTCTAATATATCTGTCTGTGTGAAATAGTTTTAAATCCGCTTATTTAATATTCATTTAAATATCTTATTTTTTTCTTCTTGTAATATCAAATACTGACAATAATTCTAAGTATTAACAAAAGACTTACCTCCAATGTATAATAATATATTGTAAAAAAGATCTTGCAGTACAAAAATATTGTTACTAGCTGTCATTATAATTATAAAGTGTGCATATTAGTTGTAATTGTTAATATAAAAAATGTGCTCCAATTCTGATTACCTTTTGTGTCCTCTGCAATACTTTAAGCGGTCACAAGGCGAGTATGGGGTGCACAATAGACTAGCCGCCCTGGTGGCAACAAACATAAAAGCTACTTATACTTTTTATACTCACGTGAAGAGATTTTTCAATTTCTTGTGAAGATTTGAGACGAATTCCCTGAACCTCTCCCCTGTGGTTGCATTTTCATTGTCCTCTTGTGGCTCCTCCTCCTCACTGACAACCCTCGCAGTCTTCATAAACAGACAGACAGCCACCAAACATGCCACCCTGCAAATGAAATGCTTAATTAGATTACTATACATGACAACCCTCATATGGGTATACACTGCACATGGTCGTATGTATGTGGTCACTCAATCACTTATGGCCATACTCGGCGGTAATTAACTTGACTGATCGTGATAAGAGCAAATGGCTTTCCAGGTTTGTTAAATTTGTATAAAATTTTGTGCTGGCCAACATTCAAGATAAACTTCCTATTGTCTATTCTGTTAAATGAAAAATCTCAGCAAGTCAAATTAACTTTGTTTATACATTTACAAATACAAAAACAAAAACTTCAACATTCTGCAATCTCTTTTCTCTATCAATTTCGACAAAGTACCTTTGATTTGATTAAATGTCAACCGCCTGCTGAGAATATTTATAATGTTATATTAATATAATATTCAATTTTTAAACAAAATCAAAGACCATATCATTTGTCCTATTGTCAAAATTTAACTACAGCTACTAAGTGAGACAAAAAATATAAGATAGCAAGCAAACTAGTGTTAATCTTAGGTTAGATTGATGACCAAACAACACACCAGGTTAGATTTGTTATTCGCAAGTCAACAAAGGGTAGAAATGTTAGTTTGACCACCGTCAGGATCATTTGTCAAATTACCAGATTAGAAATTATATATATATATTTTTTCGAGATACGTGGTTATCAGTATATATTTCTCCCAGTTACAGGATGTGTATCGAACAGTATATTTTATCTCTTATAGGAAGTAATGATCAGTATATTTTTCAATTACAGGATACATAATGATCAGCATATTTTCCGTTACATATTCGTAGTGATCTGTAACTAGAGTTTTTTCCTAGTTACGGGATGGATCAGTATATTTGTCCTAATTACAGGATACTTGCCGATCAGTATTTTTTCCTGGTTACAGGATACTTAGTAATCAGTTTATTTTTCGTAGTTACAGATCATATTAAAGTGGACAAGGATAACCTCTTCAAATTGGGAGAAAGACAAGCGGTCACAGGTTGCAGCTGGAAACGCAAATGAGCCGAAGGGATGTAAAGAAATACTCCTACGCTGTACGAGTAGTCAACAAAAGGAATATACTGAAAAAGACATCGGGGAAGCCATTGTTCAATCCCCGACCGTCCAAGTGGTTGGACACCATTCCTTCCCCCGTCTCATCCCAAATCCTTATCCTGATCCCTTCCCAGTGCTATATAGTCGTCATGGCTTGGCGCTTTTCCGACAATTCCCTTCCCTTTTCCATTCAAACTCCTTAGGCCATTTTAATCGTTATTCCTATATAATATCAATTTAAAAACTCCTTAGGCCGTGGTGGAGGTAGGAGTGAAGGGAGGGAATTATCAAGGGAAAGCGCCCAGCCATTACGACTATATAGCACTGAAAAGGGGTCAGGATAAGGTTTTGGGATGGGACGAGAGAAAAGGAATAGTGCCCAACCACTTGTGGACGGTCTCGGGGGATTGAACGCCGACCTGCACGAAGCGAGACCGTCGCTCTACCGTCCAGCCCAAGTGGTCGGAGCCCGGGGCTTGTACAGATCTGTTCCGTCCCCCACCAACCTACAAGATGAGCTTTACCGCCAGTAATATCGATCTTTTTGCTGTCAAAAAGCTTCTAATTCACGGCCCCATTAAGCCCAACTGCTGATTTGTCCCAGAACACCTTCAGTAATCATTTACTTCAAGGTCCAAAGTCATTGCTGGGAGGTCCCGTCACCTGAATGGTCCTGTCACTGCCGGGTGATCCCTAGTCACTGTTG